ATTTAATGTGCACTATTTCTGGCAGTCTGCAAAGGCCCTAAGCCAGAAATTTAGACCATGATTTGTAGTTATCTTGCTTACATAAAGTAGGGGTGGGCAGGGATGGCCCTCTGAAAGGACAGCTTGGTAAGGCTTTACCAAATTGGTTTGCAACCTCTGGTCCTAACCAGCACAGCCAGAAGTGATTGGTGCAAAGGGTTGAAAGATAGCAACACTGTTAGTCTGCAACCCAAAATCTGAAGAGCCACACTTTGTCTACCCTTGATATAAACCATAGTTAACAGAACCATAATTTGTGTGGGTTTTTATTCATAAAAACAGACCATATTTCGCAGAAAAGGAAGCAAATGGTTTTGTTCTTGGGTTGTGCTTGGGGGAAGAGAGAGAGAGAAGGAGAAATTCATTTTATGCTAAAGGAGCAGTCACGAATCATTCAAGTAAGACTGTTAGACACACACTTGTGTGTAGCGGTATAAACCAATATTATGGGATTTAAGTCTTTGCACCTGAGTTAGTGGGTCTTGTGTAAGCTGAACCATAAGCATTTAAATTCACTGGGTTAATTTCTTTCATTTTTCTGCCTCATACAAGACCCACTATGATGAATGGGTTAGAACAATATTGAATTAAGACTGCTGAGCTTTTTTTAGGCCCTCAACCTGAAAAGGCTCAACCTTGCTTATGCAGGTTCTTACTTGAAGATGAAGCCACTGGAAGTTCCAGTTGCTAGATTCCTGTGCATTGGTTAGCACAGAGGCACAATAGCAGGGTCAAGAGGAACTCTTTCATGCCTCTTCTAGGATAAGACTGCACAACTTGTCACACACCAAGCCAAATGAAGCTCTTTAGGCACATGTGGCAATCCAGAAAAGCCATGATGGTTTTTGTCCATTGATTTTTGTCAGGGAATTTAAAAACATGGCCATGAAATATTGGTGGGTTACATTTGACCCGTTTTGTCTTGAGCTGTATTAAGGATTGTGGTCATTTGTTTAAATATTTTTATAAGTGAGCCACCTCAGGTGGTGAAGTCCCTAGGGTTGGTGTCACCTGGTGTGGTAACTCATGGTGTCACCCCTGCCCTCTTGTTGACCGCCTCCAATTTCATACTGTACAGAATCTTTAAGAATGCTTTTTGGCACTAATGTTACTGGTAAATTGTAATTCCATATACCACTGAATGTAATGCAAATAGTTGTGATCTAAACAACCAGCCAAATTAAAAATTATACCTTCAAATTACAATACCATATGCACTACCTAAATGTATTTACGTATACAAATTGAAGATTTGATTACAATGTGAAGTTATTTATTTATTTATTTAAAAAAGTATTTTTTTTAATTAAAATTTTGAAATTTGAAATTTGAAATTTTTAAAATTATAGGGCCTCTCCTTTCTCCTCCCACTGAGCTTCACCTCACTCCCAGCAGCTTCTCTTAAAACATTTTAAAAGGAAGCAGGTGAATTCCACAGCCCATTTCTGTCAAAAGGTAGTATTGAGGAGCTGTGGTGTCACCTCCCCTTAGGGTGTCACCTAGTGTGGTCTTCAGACACCCCATACTCCCCTAGTGATGCCACCGACCTCAAGCCTAAATTGGTATAGACCAGCTACCTCAAGAAATTGTAGCTCTTCATTGTTTGGGCTCTGCATTTTTTAATATTCCTACCTCGTGCATATGCTGGGTTAGACCAAAGTGCCATCTGTTTAGTAGGCCTTAAACCCAGTGGTCAACCTGTTTCTTTGTAGGAAGTCTACAAGCAAGACATGGGTATGAATCTCCTTGTGTTCTGAACAACTGTTCAGAAGTGTACCACCTCAGATAATGTTGGAAGTACTTACCTATCATGGCTAATAGTCTTTGGGGCTTTGCAGTCCAGCCTAAAGGGCCAGCCTGGGGGTGGAGTTGGGGCAGGGCAGCCACATGCCGTCCATCCCAACTCCACCCTGATGCTGTCCTGACACCACACACCCATTTGTATGGTGTGCAGTGTCAGGACATCCTCTTGGCACAGCATGTGCACACGCTGTGTCAAAAGGGCACAAAAAGCCGCCGCTGCAGCTGAAAGGGCGGCATTTTGCTGTTCTCCAAAGGAGTGACATTTTGCCCCTTTTGGGGATGGCAAAAAGGAGGATCAGAACTGTGGCGTGTGATTGCCACGGCCCCAATTCACCACTCCCAGGGGCAGCTCTGTGCCCCCCCCCCTTTAGGCTGGTCTGCATTGGTCCATTGAGTGTTCAGAGTCTGAGGAGTTACTTTTTGAAGTAATTAGTTCTAGTTCTGAGTCACAAGTACTTAGTTATTTTCTTGATGCTGAAAACTAAAGTAACTGAAATTGTTACTTGTAAAAACAACATCAAACTGCTAACATACAGTGGATTTGCAAACTACAAAACCAACAAAGGCCATTATATTGCAAAAGGAATGAAATTATTGTCTCTTTACAAATGGAAATTAATTATGCCTCAGTTAGCTAGTTACTCTGTGAAAGCCTCATTTTTAATTAATGTACCTAACCCTCTTTTAGAGCAATCAAAATTGGCAGACATTTATGCATCTTGTGTTAGTCAGTTCCATATTTTAACATATTCTTTTATATGTTCTAGGAAAAAAGTCAGTTCATCTTTTTTGAATCTTTCTCGTACACGTTCACATATACACACTTTCTTCATTCCAAGCAGGCAGCAAAACCAGAAGTTCCTCGTAGACTATGGGCAGACTATGGTGTATATGGGTAGAGCCCTGTATCTGTTTTTGAAAGTTATCTACACTGTAGAAATAATGCAGTTTGATATCACTTTAATTTCCATAGTTCTGCCCTACAGAATCCTGGGGTTTGTAGGTTTTGTAAGGCACCAGCACTCTTTGGAAGAGAATGCTAAAGACCTTGTAAAACTACA